CCTCCCAGCAAAAGGCATCGCAGGGTGCTCCAGCTGCTTGGCTACCAGCTTATTCATTTTGACACCTGAGTCTGCAGCCCAGTGACCGCTGATGGCACTGATCCAGGCACAGCAGCTTCTCCACCAAGCCAGTGAACGTTTCTGACTATGTCAGCACACAACCCCCCCCCGACACACACTTCTATTGTCCATTGGAGAAAGAAGCAGCAGCTTTACCACTGCCAGGGAGTGCCAGGAGGTTCTCCATGAATTACATCCATGTCTCCGTGGATGTACATAGAGATGCTTCTCCTTCCATTGACTGGGCTGGGGCTGCTGAGCTCAGCGACTTTTTCCCCAGCTACAGCCTTTTCAGGAGATACAAATTACCACCTCCTGTGCAGGGAGGGACTCGAGCTTTGAAAGGCCACAGATGCTATGAAGCATCTTCCTGTACCTGAGGAGATCTATAGATCTCTTCACATAGCCACACAAGTCAGCATCACGTATACTTCCCCTACGATAAGCTTCACGATTCACGTTTTGGCTAGCGTAAACTGGCACTGCTCTGAGGACTCCATAGAGACTAAGCTGATTTATTTCCCTCTCTCAATCTGGGATTTGGTGTTGGACTCCACACACACAGAGAAAATAACCTCCGGGACCAGTCCTTAAACCTTTGCATGCACATAATCAAATTTCAGGAACCCAACATTTAAGATGCTGCTATCGTTCATTATCTCAATTTCAAAAATTAAAAAGAGGGTTTGCTTGTTTGTTTTTCTTCTCGTTACTCAATGCAGAGTCTCTCCAGTTCAGCAGCACATTTCCTGGTGGTCACATGGTGACAGCTGACAAGCAAACCTGAATGTCAAATAACAGTTACTCCATCTCAAGTGGAACATGAGACAAGAGTCCTGGCTAAGATAATAATTTAAATTAAAAAAAATTAAAAAAATTTAAAACCCTGTAACAGCCCAGAATTTGGGTCTCCAAAGAACAGCTCAAACAATGCTGCTCAATCTAGCAGATATATGGCCTCCTTCACTTATTCTTAGCACTAGAAGCACCCTCTCAGCTTGCTTTATCTTTTTCTGCTGACATTGTCATGCTTTAGGAGACCAGCTAACAGCCACAGATGGCAGTTTGATATCCAGCTTTGCCTCTGACAGCAGAGCCCACCTCTTCCCCCCAAAAAAGAAGCGATTCAGCAGTTCCAACCCACGCTCAGTTGAGAGCTGTATTCACATGCCACACAGACAACTGAGATGCTGTTGGTTAACTGTGAGTCACAAGCACAGTCCGGGACTTTAGCATCAGCTTTTCAGTGAATAGAGGTTCACATCCCATCATTCATTCAGATCACTACACTTCCAAAGCGGGCACACCGAATCCCACACAACTCACCAGAGTTAGATGATTCAAGACCCTTAACAAAAATATATCCCCTACTCTGTTTTAAAATTTTAAGAATCCAACACAGGCTGATTTTTAGCATTACTCCTGACTGAAAAAAGTACGGTCTCATCATGTCACATAAGCCAGTGTTACTCATCCAGGTGCAGTGACTTAAGGATTTATTCAGACAGGTAAGCATCCTCAGAAATCCAGACATAGAGTGTATGAAAAGCTGCAGTATTTGAGGTACAAGTGAGGAGGAAACTGCAGAGCCAGCACAAAAGAACTTATTGGTTGCTTGGCATATAAAGGTGCATTTCCTGGTGTGCTGGACTCCCAACAGCCCCAAGAGAAGACACAGACATGACACAAGGCCACTTCCCAGAAAACCCTTAGGACAAGAAGTGATTCATGCTTCAACACTGCAATAAACACAATCAAGTAACTTCTAAACACGCAAGACTTTGCCCAATGTACCTTGATAGCCACACAGACTATTCCAGTGGAAAAATAGCAATGCTTTTTCAGGCCAGTGAACAGAATAACCTCAAAGCTGGAGAGAGCACTTCAGATATGGGACAATACCACTGTTGTAGCCCTGGAGAATAAATCCAAGATCCCTACAACTTAATGGTAAAGTGCTTAAGAAGAGCTAGGCGAGGTCGTATCAGACCATAAATACCTCCTGTCCACTTATTTAGAAATAAGGTCCTCTGCCTAGCTAATATGGATGCCCAATGTTCTTTTATTTGGTATTCTCAAATGTGCCTTTGAAGTCCACAGTGATCTAGCTCTCAAGCTTGCACATCATTTGATCAGGGCTTTCAGGTCAGCATTAGCCCATAGTGAAGCCTTACTGCCATATGCAAATGATGACAGCACACTCTTAATTCAGGGAGGAGACAGACCAGCGTCAAGGCAAGCTAAACAAACACAAAGGCCAAAAGGAAAAGCTAGAAAAGAAACAACTAAGTGGGATCTTACACCCCAAAGTCCAGTTTCTGTTCTCTCTGATCAGAGTCTCAAATGATCAGAACCAAAGAAAAACACAAAGGAAGAGCTTTTTCCACTCCTCCCCAGGAAGTATTTATCTTCACAATAGAGTCTCACTGAGTTCAGAACTGGGTACAAATGCATGAGGGCACTAACCTTATCTAAACACAAGCCAAATAAGCAAGGCTTCTGCAGAATTCCTCTCTGCTTGGCATCGATCAAGAGACACTATATAGCATGCCAATTTGATGGACAGGGCAACAGACAGCACAGGGTAGCAGTTACCATATGCTTCAAAGCCCACAGGCTTACACTACTCTCAGATAGAAACCAGTTGCACAGCAAATACAGATACTTGGGATCCTACAACAGCCTGTACTAACATGAACTGCTCTCCTAGTACAGGCTGCAGCTGTATCTTCTGCCCTGTCCCCTTCTTCCCTATGATTTCATTCTAACCCCTGGACGTCGGCTTGGAATCTGTACTGCAGGAGAGTTTACGTCAGGGACGAAGTACAGCAATGCCATGCCCCAGCCAAGCACCCTCTCTGCTTTTACTTTCATAAGGCAGCTCTGCTGCCATAAAGCTGCTCTCTACCCAAGGTATGTGCCAGCCACACAGGCAGAGTGAAAAGAAAACTACCCTAGTGAAGTCAAACTTTAGACAGAACTTGAACACTCAAGCCTTGGCTGGCTTTGAACAGCATGGTGTGTCCTCTTTCAGGAGGGAGGTGAATGCTGCCTAAAAGGTAGTCCCTAACTCAGGGCTCTTTATCACACCTCCCCTGTACCTGCTAGGGAGCAGGAGAACCTATTCACTGAAAGCTCTCTACCAGGCTGGGTAACTCCCCAAGGGCAACGCCCAGCGCACCATGGATTCTGGACATATAAATAGCAAGAACAAGGTAGACATGATAACAGCCTTGCTCAGCACTATAATGGCATCTGAGTAAGTCAAAGGATTTGAGCACTAGTGTCAGCCTGTTTCACATTTGTGCCACATCTCCAAGTAGCACAGGGACCCGCCAGTTAGGGAACTAATTGTGCAGCCACCTCTTCAACAGAAGCAATAGCAAGTAAAGCAATGAAGTCCCTGGCAGCTATGAGCAGATGGATGCCTGCAGGAAAAGGGATTAGAGGAGGCCTTTTCCCTTGGCCACAATAAAAGCTGGCACTGTGGCATGACTACAGCCTTTTGAGATCCCAGACTGGGGTTTGAACAGCTGGTAAGAGCTTCCTATTAAGCTCCAGAAGCAATGGTTACACTTCATTGGCACTTCTGTAAACAAAATGCTAAGGAGGGGGAAACTTCAAACCTAACTACACAGAAAAAGCTAGCTTTGGCTGCGTGAAGGCTATATCTCAAAACTCTACCTGTCCCTAAAGAACAGGGAGTGCTGTGGAAAGACACCTGTGATCAAGGTGAGAGGAGTTCAAGCAGTAAAAACCTCTGGTTTCACTTGGCCCTAGGAGAGGCTTGTAATTCTCTGAGACTAAATAGATATACCTAATTCTCTCACACCCTATTCTCCTTTCAAGTTTAAGATACTTTTCTGCATTTGCTATTCTCAAGATAAAAGAAAAGCTTCCAAGTACAGACTCTAGCACATGTTTGTTCACTTTTCCCCCCATATGCCAAACAGCTTCAAAACAGCAAAAAAACAGTAGGCACCACACACTATTCTCTTCACCTGTTCCCCAGACATGCCCTAAGCAGGGACAGGCTACACTGTATGCCTGCTTCAGAGATCACTTTCTAAGGTTTCTTCTGTAACTTGAAAATAGAGACAATACCTAGCTTAACTGAAGATCTAGCTCTTGCAGAGTGCAAGAAAATTCCCCAGTGCCCTACACCCCCAGGAACAACCCTTTTCCAGAAATAAAGATGAGAAGAAAGAATAAAGAGATGTTTCCTAGCTACCCGGAGATGCTGTTCAACTCTAATCCACACACGCTGGTTGATGTCTCCATCTCCAGCCGCTTTGCCTCCTGTTCAAAGCCACTAAGAGCTGGTGCCCATACGGCAAGAGGTCAGCTCCTCTCTTCACCGACAGCCCCACCAGACCCACATTCAAGCCAGCCAAACCCAAGAACCGAGCCCTCACAAGTCCACGTTACTATGATGGGGGTCAAAACCCTGTGGTGATCTTCCTACCATCAGGGACCTTCTTGACAGGTAGCACTGATCCCTCCTGTGGACACCTGCTCTGCAGGACACAGTACCACCCACCCACCCACCTTCCCTCGGGGTAGCTGCCTATTTTGGACGGTGTTTTCGCCACCTTCCAGGGCTGAGGTGCCTCGGCCACCCCCTCGGAGCCCAGCCTGAGGCACGCAGCCACCTGCGAGGGATCGGGGCAAGGGAACATTGAGGTAAAGGCCTTAAAAACAAAGCGCCGCACGCGTTTAGGAAGAACGAGGAGGAAGGCGGAGTGCAGTTTCCACCCCCACCCCCTTCCGATGCTGTTGTAATTAAAATAATTAGTAAGAAGGAAGGGAAGAGCCGAAGGAAGGCTCGGCTCTGGCAGCCGGCTAGCCTCGCCGTGACAGCCCCGGCACTTCATGCCGACCCCGCACCGCCCAAGGGCCGCCCGCCGGTGCCGAGGGCCCCCCGCCCGCCCCGCGCTTACCCAGGCAGGCGCCGCTGACCAGGGCGGTGGCGGTGAGCGCCCCGGCTGAGGCGCCGTAGACCTTCCTGGCGTTGGCGACGAGGAAGGGGGCATGCTCCTGCAGGCAGCTGGCTACCCCGATGTGGTAGACCCCCAGGAAGCCGCAGCCGGCGAAGGAGATATTCCAGGTGGAGTCCGGGGGGAACATGGCCTCCGCGCCCCGCTGAAGGCGGGGGGGGGGGGGGGGGGAGTTGAAGGGGAAGAAACAGCAGCGACGGGGAGGGAAAGCCGCGGAGCTCCTCTCAGATCACACCGCCTCTGGGAAGGCGGGACGGAGGACGAGAGCCGGGAGTTGCTGCTGCTGAACGAAGGAAGCCCGTAGCACGACACGGTTCGCCGCTGTGTTGCCGGTAGCGGCCGCCCAGCTTATATGAGGCGGCCCGGCCCTCGGGCCCGCCCTCGGCCTGTGGAGGGGCCGAGCTGAGGGGAGGCGGCCTCAGCTCGGCCCCTCCGCAGGCCCCGGCCTTGGGCGGGAAGCGGCCGGCCCCTCCTTCCAACCCTTCCTCCGGTGAGCCCCCTCTCTCGGCCCAGCGAGGTCGGTCCCGCGGGCACGGCGGTGGTTCGGCGGCGGTTGGACCGGGGCAGCCGTACCGGGGCCTCCCCGCAGCCACAGAGGCTAAGCCGGCTGCCCCGAGGAGGAGGGGAAAGGAGAGGATCACGGCTTCTGGCAGCAGCCTTCCCGTGTAGCGGGGCAGCCTGGCTTCCCCTCACAACACATGCTGTTTCTTGGAGGCCTCTGCTCCAAGTTTTTGGAGTTTCCTGCAAGCACAGGTGTTTGTTTTTCGGGAGATGGGCAGGGAATGGGAAAGGAAGGGAACAGCTTTCCCGTTCCATAAAAAGTTGGGGAGCCAGAGGGAGGCAAGGCTCAGGACAGCTACAGTGTGAGAGCAGAGAGAAAGGCAACCCTGCTCTCTTAACAGCTTGCTGTAAACACACACAGTTGCGTACCTTTGCTAATCTTAACGGTTTTCTCTACGTGCCTCTAAGCTCACCTAATTGCTTACCTTTGGTCAGGGCAACTGCAATTTTCAGTAGGCAAGCCGATGGCGTGTCAGCTCGTCACAGCAGCACTGGGTGAGAGGCCAGTGCTATTGGGAGATCAAAATAGGGTTCAGAAGCTGGAAACATCCCCTTGTCATAAACATTACAGGCCGTAGCCCTTCAAACAATTAGATAAGTGTGAACATTTATGGGGACATCAAAAGGATCAGCATAGCGAGAGAAGCATGCTCAAGGAAGGAAGCAATATCAGCAGGAGGGAAGTCTGGAGAGTACAAGACAAAATGCATAAGTAGTTTTTCAGTAGAATCAACATAGGGTAAAAGCACTTTCTACTGAAATTTAAAAAAAAACAAACAAACAAACAAAGAAAAAAGACTTAAATAATCTTGGCATAAATCTATTCACATTAGTTTTCTTACACCTAGTCTGAAGCTTCTCATTTGGGACACTGTTATACCTGTCCTTAACAGCTCTCAGACTAAACAAAGCTAGGCCTTCCTCCCTGCAGGAATTTCACTGGTTATGTTAGTGGAGGTCATCCAAATAGTCCCTCTCCTGTTCCTTCCACTTCAAATATAATTTAAAAGGGTACAAGGGAGTCTGGTGCCTTCCCCACAGAGGGGCCATCCAGTTTGTAAGAAGAGCTGCCCACTGCCTCAGGCAGCTGACTGAACCAACCAAACTCACCAGGTAACCCTTGTACAAATCCAATACTCGAGCTCAAGTTAGGTCTTATACTCCAACTTCTATAAAGGGCTTTTTCATTAAATGTTTGTGCTTTCCTTCCATCAGACAGGCAGGAGTCCAGCCTTATCTTTCTTCCAGGCCCTACCCTGGAGCCCACCACCTCACCTAGCTGCCAAGAAGTACCCTTGATACATATAAGCTCCATCCTGGAGCACTTAAAGAACTAACCCCACTTATCTGAAGTCCTCTGTTTATGCCCTTTACCCACCCTTCTTTCTCTTCTTCTCATACCTTTACTTGCTTTTGTAATTTCCTTCCTTCCTCCCTCGTGTTTGATGTGGTTTCATAGCCCTTGTCAGCCCTCATCTCCTTCATCTGAAGAGGTAAGCATTGGCACACCTGAGCCTTGACCCTCTTAAAGGCCCTTAACACCAACAAAATCATAGTGCTTTCACCCCATGCTTCTGGTGACATGGAAAGGTATTTCCATGTCGCCAAACCCAAAGAAAACATCATGTCTTGCAATTTCCAGAACAGGGATTGTGTTGCAGAAGAACTAGTCAATGGGCTGTGGCTTTAGCGGAAATCTGTGGCAAAGCTGAGTACTGAACCTTGTTTGCAGAAACCTCCCTAACACTTGTAACCACAAGAACAGCTTCGTTCTCAAGCCAACACTGCTTCCTCTTTTTTCAGTATTTCACAAACCTTAAGGGTTCTACTATATCTGGAAAATAGAAACAACAATGCTGCGACAATGCTGGGGTTAGTTTCACTTGATTTCTCAACAGCATCTCATTCTGAGTTGTTTACATTCTGCCTTGGCCCTCAAGGTTACCTATTTGAGGAGGTTAATGCTGCTCTGTTGAAACAGGTTAATGAAAACCATGTGAATGGTAATCTCTTGCGGAGTGCTGCCTGGGTACTGGCACTAGCAGGCAGGCAAACAACTGTGTTATTCTCAAAAATAAATTATCCCCCCAAACGAATCTTTTTCTTCTCAGTAAGAAAGTACTGCCATAATCCTGCAATCGCTCATAATCCTGCAATAAGGTAGGTCAGCAAGATTTACATGGCAGTTTTTCATGTTATCAAACTATCAGAACACTCCAAGTTCACCTTGTGCTCTTACATGCTGTGATGCCACAGAGACGGCTTCTCATGCAATCTCTCTTTGTTGCATTTGTTTCCTAGTCTAATGAGCAGTTATGAGATAATAATGTACAACTAAACAGTCTTGTTTGTTTTTTCAAGTAAGACTTTGGTTGTTGGTGGCCATCGGGAAATAATTTTGAAGGGAAGCTGAGAGGCAGTCTGTTATACCATTGTCTTCAGCATGTTACTTTAGTGTTGTTGCCTGTGATCAGCAAGACTGGGGCACTGATCATGAAGATCAGCCCGAGTACTTCAAACATCACTGGAAAACCTGACTTTGATGTCTTTTTCTTACCTGTGATGTTTGCGTATATTGGACAATTCCATGACAAACACTTGGGACTTGCTTCATAGCAGCATCTCCTGAGGCAATGGAGCAGTCCCCTTGTTCTGCTCTCTTGGGACTGAATTTGCCTTCTAGGAAAGCTGCTATGGATATCTCTGCCCTACGTAAGGCAAACCTACTGAGTTCCACAGGGCTGCCTGCATGCAGCAGCTTGCAAAACTGGGCCTTGGTAGTAAGAGTGAAACCAGTTAATTTGTGAGTGGCCCCAGGGAGCCATTGCTTATTACTTTCCAGTAGTGTGCAGGACATTCTTCCCACTTTCCAAGTAGTGAAGATGTCATGTCACTCTCCCTGACCCATGGTGTTTGTAAGGAATGATTTTCAGTCAGAGCTGGTTTGAGATGGCGCAGCGTTTGTGTCCCAGTGAGGAGAGCTCGCACGTTTCAACGTCAGGCCTATGACGAAATCACTCTCCCCCATCATCAATTTAGTAATGATCAGTTACCAGTGTAACCTCCAGGCACAAAGATATCCCTCACTTTCCCTTCAACACCTTTGAGCCTTTCTTTATGAAGAAGTCAGGAAAAATCTGTCCCAGCTAAAATTGGTTCTGCAAGGGGACAGACTAGGCCACCACTCCAAGTGTTCCCAGGTACTAGTTTTCTCTGACAGCATCATGGAATACAACACATCCACACCACTGCTACCCTTGCCTTTGGAAATCACTGCTAAGTCTGAAAAGGCATCAGTGACACTTGGAAATTCAAACCAGTGTCCACAGAGCAAGAGCAGGGAGCCCAGCTCCTTCATAGCTGAAGCTCATTGAGATCAGCAAAAAGTGGTGAACTCCATCCAGAGCATCAAACAAGTCTGTGAGACTTCCAGGCACATCGCTGCTCATGTACAAAGCTATCAGCTGACAACTGTTTCATAAACAGTTACAGTGGAAGAAAGCTTAAAATGCTTTGATTTTACATTCAGAAGAAACATTGACCATGCGGAGGTTTTAACCAATTTTGTAAAATGTGTCTGAAATCTCGGAGAAGACCTGTCCCCCTGATCTTCTCAAGAAGGGTGGTTATGTAAAATACATTGGCTCCCCGTGGCAGTGTAACGAATACTGTTTTCAGTGCTTTCTCCAGGAGCTGGCCCAAAAAGTTTCTTCTCTAAGCTGTTTACCAAATCTGTCCTCCTCTTTCTCAGAGCAGATTGAGTGACAAGAGTTTTCATCAAAATTATGCACCTTCAGGAAGGAATTTAAAGGTGATAAGAGGACACCCAGCACCGGATGAGGTCATAGGCAGAAAATAGAGAAAAATAGTGGAGGGAAAGATCCCCTCATCACAGTAGCCAGCAGCTGGCACCACAGGTTTCAGTCTCATCCCACAGGCCTGGGCAGAGCAAAACTCATGGAATAGCTCAGTGCCACTGAAACAAATTCCTTTGTGCATGGAAACACCCTGCTGAGTGGTGTGACAGGGCAGCTCCGTCCTGTGAAAACATTGACTCTGCTCTTGCAGTAGCCCAGCAAGGCAACACTGCAGGGTGTGTAGGGGTTACCTCTCAGTAAAACCACATCCAAGAACCCTCTTTTTCAGTGATCTGACATGGAAAAATCAGGAAGGAAAGAACCTCGGGTATATCTGCACCCCTGCCAGTGCAGAACCACAGCCATTACGAGTCTGACAGAGGAGAGCAAACATGAGCAGTTTTCAGTACTACCACAGAGATCACCACACTAGGACTTCAGAGACAAAGTAGATGAAAGGTTTTGGCACTGTTACCTCCTGTAACTCCTTGCAGCAGGCACAGGCGGCCAGCAAGGGTTACTTGGTTGGACTGTGGCCATTTTGAGGTCTGAGGGTCTTTCAACTGCTCTCTGCCTTGGCTGGTGTGAAGTAATGGGCACTCTCTCAGTACACCACAGGGAGATAAAATAGTTTTTCCTACTTGGATTTCACCCATCTCTCCTCAGAAGTACTTGCCAAGCTTTGTCCAGTGACTCATAACCAACATAGCTGTTTCAACTAGTGTTTTTTTTTTTTTCTGAAATGACATTAGAAAATCTTCACAGTATAGACCACTTCAGGACACCTCTTTTTGACACTACGTGTGGAGACTACCTGGTATGGGAAGATCATCACAAATGCTGCTTGTACTCTATCTACCTACAGGTACAGCCAAAGACCTAGAAGTCAGGGTAAGGTGCCTGTCAGAACCATAT